TGTTAACATGTTAGATTACAGTAACAGGATTATAGATTGGAGAATTTCAGGTGTTTCAAAGGTACTTCAACAACCTTTGGTTATTTCCATTTGAATTTCCTGCTATCACCTCAATTAAGTCATAAGACAGTTTCATCACCTCTTGCCCTTAATTGATTTCCCCCTCCAGCTCCCTGATACTTCTGGTAATGGTATTTTCATTATCCCAGTTACTTTTCACTGGAGCTTATCGTTGTCTCCTCCTTCTCCCTTAGCCTCCACCCAATCTATTTATCATCCAGGAGTGCAGCATCTGCCCATGTGAGTCGTATTTGTTGTGGCTCTCCTATCCTCTCGGTTCCCACTGCCTCCACTCCGGTTCACACCATCAGCCCATACACTTGCTTTATTGCCGCAGCCTGCTGAGTCTACTGCCACCAGCTTCTTGCTCGTCTCTTTTATCCATTTACTTACTTAATCTTCTTTAAAATCCCATTTTGATCACGTTATACTCCTTGTTCAACATTTTTTAAGGATTCTTTGAGGAAAATCACTGATTTTGATTGAAAAACCATTCAGTTTTTATAAGTAGGTGTGGAAAATGCTGGGGGTGCTGGCCCTAACTCTTCTCATTTGATGCCACTTTATGTTGATGCCCCGTTCAGAAGGGAGAAGCTACCCACTAGCAGAGGACCAGGAAACAGTTTTTTTTAAAAATAATTTTTTGGGAAAAAGAAGATAGTTGTGATAAGCTCTTGTTCACTGCTATGTCCCCAGTTTCCAGAACAGTGCCTGGAACATAATAAGTGCTCAAAAATATCTGAGAAAGAAATGGACATATGCGGGGGAGTGTATGTGAAATCTCCTTCTGATTTAAGCCAAATTTGTCAGAATAAAAATCCACAGAGAATAGAAGGTTATAGAGAGTAGCAATTCTGTCCTAAGAAAAATCTTTGGTCAGGGAAGAGCTGAATAGTGAGACGACTTAGTATAAGATCAAATGAGGGTGATAAAGAAAAAAGTTAATATCTTGTCTCTGATAAATTGTACAGCAAAGTCTAATGAGGTGGGGGGGGAGCAAGGGTAGAAATGAACTCTCTTCAATTCAGCTTTTTACTGCCTTTTTAGAAAGAGCTGCTCTTAAACTCTAAGGTATCAGAGCAAAGATAAAAGCCTCAAAAAAAGTTAAGGTAGGCTTAAGTGAGCACCAGAATTAAAGTTTTAAGCCTGTTGTATTAATTATCTACTGCTGTGGAACAAATCACCCCAAAACGTGGCAGCTTAAAACAATACACATTTATCACTCACAGTTCATGTGGGTCAGGAATCTGAGCGTGACTTAGCTGGGTGACTGGCTCAAAGTCTCTCTCTCACAAAGCCACAGTCAAGGTGCTGGCCCAGGTGGCAGGCATCTCAAGGCTCTATTGGGAAAGAATCCTCTTCCAAGGTCACTCACGTGGCTGTTGGCAGACCTCAGGTCCTCACTGGCTCTAGGCCAGAGATACCAATTCCTTGCCACATGGGCCTCTCTGTAGAGCAGCTCACAACATGGCAGCTGGCTTCCATCAGAGAGAACAAGCAAGAGGACGAGAAAGAGCCTGAGGTCTGCCAACATTCACTGGTCTTACCATGTTCCCCGTTATTCTTAAGCAGCAGGCTTGACAGAATGGTGGAATGACTTTTTGAAGACTTAGTGATGGTGGCTGCTTAGGTGACAACACCTTGTGAGGCTGAGACAATGTCCTCCAGGATGTGGTATTTTCTCTAAATCAGCATTTAATATACTGTGCTATTTTTCCCAATCTGGGAATGAATGGGTAGAAATGGGACTGCCTTCTCTTCTTCTTACCCTTAGTAATCTACTAGCAAAACAGTTGCTTCCCATTCCCATGACTTTAGGCTGTTGGTCTGAAGGTCTTAGTTCCATGGGGAGAAATGCTTCTATCAGGAGACACAACAATGATTCCACTGAACTGGAAGTTGAGACTGCCATTTTGCCACTTTGGGCTCCTTATACCACAGAATTAATAAGCAACAGACTGTTACTATATTGGCTGGGGTGATTGATCCTGATTACTAAGGGAAAATTGAGCTGCAACTACACAATGGGAATAAAGAGGAGTATGTCTGCAATGCAGGAAATCCTCTAGGATACGTTAGTACTTCCTGTGATTAATGTCAATAGAAAACTACAACAAGGTACCTCAGGCAAGATTGCTAATGGCCCAGACCCTCAGGATGTGGCTACAACTACATGACCAGTTGCAAAAATGAGGAACGTAATTCTGATGAGTATTTCTTCCTTAGATTGATATGAATATATATAAATATTTTTGTTTTCTTCTCCTCTCTTATTCCCTTAATATCTCATGTAAGATGTGTCAACAGTAATTAGCTTTATCTCTCAGGATTTAAATTATAGGATATCAAAGGTGAGAAGAATGAACATCAGCCGAGGACAATAAAGGGGATTTGTATCCTCTTCTGGGGAAAGGGTTAGTGTGTTTTCAGTGGTACATGGGATAGCTGTATCATGTTAGGTGGAAGTATGACTTCATTAATGTCTTATTTGAAGATTAAGTCTGGAGATGTATATGAGGGCCAAGCTGACAAGGGGTGGACTGTGGAGGCTCTGTAATGTGTGAATTTGGCTAGGTTGAACTACATTTTCCAGAATTTCTTTTCAGACTGTATGTTTCTGGTTAGGATGGTGGACAGGGAGATTGCTGTGGGAAATTTGGAGGGTTAAAGTCAAGCAGCAGCCAGTTCTAGCTCACACATGTTGTTTATCTGTTGGCTCATCTGGCGGCATGAGGTAGAACTGCTTCTGCTCCACTTTCCCCTGCATTTTCCTTCAGCCTCTCTGACTCCTGGGCTAGGTGTTTGCCTGGTTAGCTCCATGACAAAGGGCACTGGCTTCTAAAGGACACCCACATTACCCAGGACAGAAGCCACAAGAACTGACATGGGTTTAAGTCCATTCTCATGGGCTCCAGATCATGCTTATGGGTTCTAGCTTGTTCTTGCTTTCCGCCACTTTACATCCATCTTTGCACAACTATCTGCTCTCTAGACTCAAGCTCTAGCATCAGGTGCAGTCAACATTCTTACAGAGACCGCTTAACCAGCTCTGGTCAAATCCCTGTAACAAATCCTTTACTATATATAGTTAATGCTCATTATTTGTGGATTCCATATTTGTGAATTCATCTGCTTACTACAATTGATTTCTAACTCCTCAAATCAATACTCATGGTGCTTTTGTGATCAACTGCAGACACACGCAGATTCAGAATGGTAAAAAATCTGAGTTGCTCAACATGCACATTCCTAACTAAGGTCAATCAAGGCCATGCTTTGCCTTCTTGTTTCAGTTCTCATACTGTAAACAGGTGTCCTTCTAGCAGACTATTTAGTGCCATGTTTTTCACATTTTTGTGCTTTTGTTGGTGATTTCACTGTTTGAAATGGCCCCCAAGTACAGTGCTCAAGTGTTGTGTAGTATTGCTAAGCACAAGAAGACTGATGTGTCTTAAGGAGAAAATAACTGTGTTATATAAGCTTCATTCAGGCATGAGTTACAGTGCTGTTGGCTGTGAGTTTAATGTTAGTGAAACAACAATATATGTTAAATAACGTGTCTTTAAACAGTAACATTCATAAAACAAGGTTATATATTGATTGCTTGATGAAAATGTTGTGACCAGAGGCTTGCAGGAACCTAACCCTGTATTTCCCCTGGAAGTAGTGATTCAGTATTCACGATTTCAGTGTTCTCAGAGACTTTACAGAACATAATTACTGCTAGTACAGAGAATCAATTGTATAATATATCCACACACATATACATATACATACACACAGACACACACACATATGTATACATATTGTAGCACATACATATCTCCTAATGGTCTGTTTCTCTGATTGAACTCCGATTGACAGACCTTAAAAGTTTAGCTATAATGACAGTGAAGCTCAGTTCAAGTTCAGGTATTAATGATAGTGAAATTAAATTATAATAATAGTTCTTTACCTAGTATTTGAACTGTTCTCCAAATTATTTCCTTCAAATATATAAATATACAACTCTGAGTACCTAGTGATTAGCTATCTCCTATGATTGTTATGTGAGCAGTTTGTATTGAAAACTTCTGCTCATTCTCTGGCATCCATGGCCATAGCAAGCCCATTTCTGTTCTGCAGCCATAACCAGATACCATTACTCACTTTGTGTTTACTATCAAAATTGGTTGAGAACTGTGAAAGCCAAAACCAGAAAGCAATGAAAAATGTCATTCTCTCCTCTTACATAGAGATTAGAGACTATAGTACAAATCCTGTAGGCTGGAAATCAGTGCCATCCTTAAACTGTCTGGAGGCCACCTGCTTCCTGAGGTGCTCACCCCGCCACCTCTTTCCTTTCAATAGGCAGGCCAGTCTTGCCTTAGTTCCCTGTGAACATCTTCAGATCCATTCCAGCCCTTACTCCTTACATTGCTCTGTTTCTTTTGCCTAGAATGCCATCCTGCACATCTTCCTACAATCCAAATCCTATCTAACACACAAGGCCCAGCCAAAATCTTTTGTATGAAAAACTTTTCTGAAGACTCTAGGCCACAGCAATCTCTCTTCTATGAACTCAAGCCTTAACTGCCTGTTGTATCATTGACTTGGGACTCAATCAGAGTCAAATACTCTGAGACCCCGTATGGCTACCCAGTCCTTGTCTAATCAACTTTTTACTTAGGTACATCTTGTCTCCCTAAGCTACAACAGCAACTGTCTATATTACTATCAAATTGTTTCACCTATTCATCTTTACTGAGATTGTTGGTAAGAATTTTCAGCTACTTAACAAATTTCTGGTAGTGGATGAGACCCATACCGTATGTCACCAATAACTCATTCAAAGACTCCAGGCAAAACAACACCCTTAGTTCGCAAAACAGAATTCCACATTTTATTAGCCTATTTTTTCACCTTAAAAGAAATCCATACATTTCTTATCAAACACCTACCTGCTGAGACTCGGGGACAGTCAGGCAGCATGGACTCCACTGATGTGTCTAATGGTTCTGTGCTAGAGACCCAATTACAACAGTTCTGAAATGGAATAGAGGCAATTTTCTGTTGAAACATAATTTAAGCCAAGACCAACATTTTAGGCTGCAGAGATTAATTTATCCTATATAATCAACCACTAGAAGTATATTCAATTTTTTTCCATGCACTGTAAAAAATTTTCTTATGTAAACAGTAATTACTTGGAAAAAAGTTTATCTTCTACAATTCAGTGAATCATCTGTGCTGATATTAAGAAGACATGTAACTTTCTGTGAACCATGATGCAATATATTTCTAAGAGAAGGGTAGGATTATAATTAAGGGAAATTGAGGGCTGGCCCCGTGGCTTAGCGGTTAAGTGCTCACGGTCCGCTACTGGCGGCCTGGGTTCGCATCCCGGGCGCGCACTGACGCACTGCTTCTCCAGCCATGCTGAGGCTGCGTCCCACATACAGCAACTAGAAGGATGTGCAGCTATGACACACAACTATCTACTGGGGCTTTGGGGGAAAAATAAATAAATAAAAAATTATATAAAAAAAAGGGAAATTGAAAAGGGTGTCCATTTTTAACTTTTAGATGGAGATAAATATTAATTTGAACATGTGAACGAATAGCTACATTTTTAAACTACATTCTTTGTCTTTGTAATACTACAAGAAACAAAATTTGCAATTACTCTTCAAAATATACTATCTTTTAATTTTTACTTCAACCTGTTTCAGTCAAGGCTGTATCAATAGTTCAAAAGAAACACAACCTGGTGAATTGTAGCTGTGTGTCTGAGGACACAAAGCCTTCAGTATTAAAGATCAACCTCTAAGATAAGGATGATTTACAATTCAGACAAATGAAATAAAAATAATCTATATTCCTTCCATACATTTTAAGTCTGTATTTGAAGTCTGGCTTTAAAAATGTGATAAACATCATATGGTTTATCAAAAAAATTTCCAAAACACATACACACACACACACACAAAATGAATTTCCAGACAGATTTTATTTTAAAAGAAATCGTCCTATCAATCATGTTGGAAAAATCGCTGATTGCTATTCTGGTAAACAAGCATGTATTGTGTATTTTTAGATGCTTGCTGCCCTGGTTGTGCACCATGGGATCCGTCCTCACTGTGGAAAGATCCTTGACTGGTAGATCAAGTGTCTTATTGTATTTCCTTAATTCATTCTGTCTGGAAGAAGATGTCAGCTGTGTTGCAGTGAGGAGAGAATTTCAAAGGCCCCAGTCCCCACCAATAAAGGCCGAGGAATGGCTTTTGAATAGATTTGTCAAGGCAACCCTACTGTTCTGGGACCAGGGAGAGCAGGAATAACATAAAGGAAGGGTTGCTGTATGAGATTAGAAAGTGAAGTTCACAAAGCATGGCAGATTTTTGTAAGAAACAGTAGATCAATGAAACTATTGAACTGTGTGGAAAAAAACCCATGAAAACAAACACAACATCTAGTAATGTTCTTAAATGCTTTCCCTCTCTTTACATTTAAAATGGATAAAATATTAGTATTTTCATGTATTACAAAAGCTTGATGGTTTAAAGTGGATACATATTCTATAATTTACACTCCTAATCTTAATTAGCAGCTGAATGCAAAATTATACAATGTAAAAGAGCAGAAATTATAAAAGAAATAGGGTTTTAGAAGATATTTCATACATTTGAAATAAGTAAAATTAATATTACTATTGACAGAATACCACATCAGAGAGTTCTAGATAATGCAGAAGATTAGCACACAATTAGCCAGCTTTTATATACAATGTGACACTTGCTTGTAAGAAATAGTATTCTCCAAAGCAGTGTCAAGATATGTAAATGGATGATTTGTTTTATCATTCATCACAGCCCCTAATAAATTCAAAAATCATGACTTCTATAGGTACTAAAAATAGGCTCCCAATGATACAGGGAGATAGCTTCAATGAAGAATGACTTTCTCTTTCTCTCTCTTTTTCTTAATTCAGTCTTTTCAATGACAGCAATTAGCACTACCGAAGACAGGCAGCGATTAGGTATATATTTTAATTATTATTCATTCCAGTAGTACCTCCACATCTGATGCAAGTTGGCTATTACCCAGGTGATACGTCAGTCTTAATACTGCTCCCCTACACTTCACATATGTAAAACTATGTCTCATAGATATTTCTAGTATTAATAAAAGTGATGGTACATTACAATATGCAGGTGATTAATCATTTTCTAACTCATTATCATTGACTTTAAAAAGCTGAACAAAATGGATTTTATCCAGGTCACCTTTAACTCAAACATTTAAAGCAAAATATAGGTTAACATTTTATGATTCTGAAATTTCAGTTTTTATCTAGACATATGTGTAGGCTTTGATCTCTCATAAAAATAGGATAGAAAAAAAACACCCTATAGTTAAAGTGAATATGTCCAAAAGTTCTCTGGAATGACAAAGTACTTGTTTAGGATTGTACAGGTTTGATACCGTAAGTCTGACGAGTGTACAAGTATGTGTGCATGTGTGATGTACGTTTGACATTTTTACCCCACAGAGAAAAATATGTACAAAAAAGGGCAAAATGAGCTAAAAATAAGTTTTACATGTGATAGAGTATAATGAAATAAAATAATGTAAACATACTTGGAAAAAATGTAAAGAAAGAAATATGAAAGATAAACAGCCCTTATATATGAATTCAATTTGTCTAAAATTCCATCTTAATCAAACGTAACTCCCTATTCTGAGATGTGTTTCTACAGTTTAGAAACTAAGTCTCTTTCACTTTTTCTAATGCTTATTCTATCCCTCTTCTCAATGCCCCAATTTGCCCCCCATTCCAGTTCTTCAGTTGAGATGAACACTAGTGAAGTGTCCTGGATGGTGAGAGAGGCAGCCCACTAGGAAAGCCCTACCTAAACTCAACGCATGCTGGGGAGTGTTCCAAGCCCCCGGAGAGCTTATTCTCAGATGCCCTGAGCAGACAAGGCATGCTGGACTTGAGGTACCAACAGAGCCATGCTTGAGCCTGAGATGCAGCCCCACCTCATCCCAACCAACAAGCAGAGAGAAAGACGCCCTTGGCCAGATCCAGCAGACTGGGATGGATCACGTAACTAGAGTTTTTCTGGGTCTGAGGAAAAAGAGAAGAATAGGCAATATCATGGGTGTTTCTTAAAGTTAAGTGTTTTCAATTTAAAGTTCCCTTATTCTGAAATTATAACCTTACAGGTTTTTGTGGTTGTAAACTGTCTTCTTTGTGAAATCCTACAGCTTGGAAACTATTAATATAGACTAGAAGTGCCTGTAGGCCACAGTGCTGAGCGACTCTCTTTGACATTTGAACCAAAGGTTGACAATATTTCAGTGTAGAAATGAAATGAATTAAAATTTTTTGTAAAAAGGTTAAAACTTAGTATATTATGTTTAAAGAGAAAAGTGGGTAGTAGGTATTCCTGTGCAAGGTATTTGGAAGTATTTGGAGATGCCTGTTGCCCTGATTGAGTTTAGGTTTTTATTCACTTTTATTTCATTTGTCTGAGTTGTAAATCACCAATGCCTTAGAAGCTGATCTTTAACATGGAAGGCATTGTGTCCTCAGACAAGAACTAGGATTCACCAAGTTATGTTTCTAGGACTGACACACAGAGCTGAATGGTGATAGGTAAGGGTTCTCCACTGTTATGTAGAACCATATATCTGGCTTGGCTGGAGACTTTCAGAGGCCAGGGGTATGTGAGGAAATGATATTCACCCACTTAGCCTTGTTTTTTCCCAAATAAAAATTATACATTTAAGGCATACAACATGATAATTTGATATACATATACACAGTGAAATGATTACTACAGTCAAGCTAATTAACATATCTTCTCACATAGTTGCCATTTTTTTTGTATGTGTGATGACAGAACCTGAAATCTATTCTCTTAGCAAATTTCCAGTATTCAATACAGTATTATTAAGTATAGTCATCATGCTGTACATTAGATCTCTCCACTTACGCAGCCTACATAACTGCAACTTTGTACACTGTGACAAACATCTCTCCATTTCCCCCATCTTCCTGCCACTGGTAACCACCATCCCACTCTCTTCTATGTATTCAACACTTTGAGATTCCACATATAAGTGAGATCATGCAGTATTTTTCTTTCTGTGCCTGGCTTATTTCACTTAGCATAATGTCCTCCAGGTTCTTGCCCACTCAGCCTTTACCGTCCTGGAGCTTGAGGTAAGAAGTGCCTCACAGGAGCTACCTTTGGTTCCTTCTTACCTCTCCTCAAGAGGCTTAGTTTGTATGCCTGGTCTTTTGATTGGGAATAGATTTCACTCGGAGTCATTGCCAAAAGTAGCCCCCTTTGTCTTTAAAAGAAACTGTTATTTTAAAATTAAACAAGTAATCCAAGAATATAGTACTTAACCTTCTTTCTGTAGGTTAATTGGTAGGATTAAAAAAAAATAAATCGGCTTTTTCTAGTAAATGAATACTTAACACAATAAATTTAGCATATTAATTTAAACATGCTTACAAAACAAAAAATAGTTTTACTAATTTGTAGTATAATAGGAATGACTTGACAATTTGTACCACTGTCCTACTGCCAAATTTGAATGCAGGGCTTGGTGAAATAATGGAGCCAATGATCGAGAGGCCAAAAGCATTAAGACTTCATCTATAACCATACTGCTACTTATTTCTTATTTTTTAATTTTTTTGCTGAAGAAGATTTAGCTCATTAGCCTGAGCTAATATCCGTTGCCAATCTTCCTGTTTTTTTTTGTACGTGAGCTGCTGCCACAGCATGGCCACTGACAGATGAGTGGTGTAGGTCCATGCCCAGGAACTGAACCTGGGCTGCCAAAGCAGAGCAGGCCAAACTTAACCACAAGGCCACTGGGGCTGGCCCCATACTGCTATTTTTATGGACAACATTCCAGTTTAGCTAAGGTGTTTTTCTTGGCAGGGATATTTGCAAAATATCTCAGTTTTTGAGCTGATTCTAAATGAAGCTGGAGTGGGAGGAGGTAGGGAAGTGGGATGCTGAGGGACACAAAGGTTACTCTACCACACCCTTCTCCCAACACCCGTGCTCAAGACAACAGCCCTTTGTATTTACTGAATCCAGGCTTGTTTGCTCTTCATTACTTCAAGGAGTCTTGCAGAATGGATAGGGACTGAAAAAGGAGAAAGAAGAGGGGATGGAGTTTCCTCCTGAGTATTGGGGAACACTGGACTCTTATTTTGCCAAACCACACTGAATTCTCTACTAGGGGATCACACACTTGCCTACAAAGGTATCTGGCATAGACTTCTATAGTCTCCCTTTTTGTTCTTGTTTTAGGGATGAGCTCTGAGCAGGGATAATTTCAGCACTCCATCAACAATGATCTAATAATTTTTATCTCTGGGATATTATAGTGTTTTTTGTAATAACACATTTCATTTCTTTAGTAGTACCATTTGCTTTTCAAGGGGTTTTCTTCTTGGTTATCACTTTTGATTCTCACAATAGTTCATGAAGTAGATGGAATAAAAATTATCATCTCTAATTCACAATTATGAAATAGGCCCAGAAAGATGGAGTGGCTTTCCCAAGACAATGAGTCTTAGGAGAGAAAGTACCTGGTACATTATTGATTTACCTAGTGAGTGACTAAGCCAGAATCATTATTAAAGGCTCAGTTCTCCTAACTCCTTGCTCTGAAATTACTTCTCTTTTGTAAGTTGTTTTGAATATGCAAATCATCAAGCAAAGGTGAATACAGTTCATGTATTTTATATTATTTGGGGGTGAGAAGGTAACAACAATAACAGCTGTGATTTACTGAACTTTAAAGTGCAAACAACTGTGCTATTTCTGTACATATGTTATGTCCCAACCATGTTTGCAAGGTAGGTATTATATTTTATAGATGAGAAAATTGAATCTCAAAGAGATTAAATAACTTGCCCAAGACTACACAGCTAGGTAAGTGATGGACTGTGGTTTGAATTTTGGTATGTCATAATATAAAACTCTTCATGCTGCTTCATGCCTAAGGCATAATCGAGGGAACTGAAAAAACTATTCAAGAACTAGGTCATTTATAAAATTTTAAGAAATTTTATAAAAGCTATGCTTGCAAAGAAATTAATGACAGCTTTGATCAAATTAAGATGAATTCAACTACTGTCTATTTCAGTCCGAAGAAAAAATGCACAGATTAATAATTCTGATTTTGAAGGCGATGCCTAATCCAGTCTTAGTTAGGAATACTTAAAAAAGTAAAGCTAAATAAATTTTGTTATATATGTCACCTGCAATGAGACATGAAGAACTCGCAATTAAAAAATGATGAACGAGGCTGTTTCTAGTTTGGGACAAGTATTAAATTCCATATTGGTTATGTCTGGGGGGAAAAGGTACTAACAGCTCATTTATTAACCGTACTTATATAATGCTGGGAACTGTCTCTGTATCCATTTGGACAGACAAATAGCATAAAAAAAGTATAGGCAAGAAATACACAAAATTTCTCTTGAAAAAGTTTAGGCCCTTGGAAAAGACAATTAAGGATGTAGATAAATTGTGAAAGGAGAAATATGAAAAGCAATGTGGTCAGAAAACACCTGGGTGTTAGAATAGATTAAAAAACCCACCGTTATATGTTTAACACCATTATGAGGAATGGAGTAAAAATATTTTAGACTTTTGCAGGATGAAAGTACTTTTTCTAATGGAGAATAATAACAACAGTGAAAACAGATTGGTGACATTATGATTACACCCCTACGGGATTATATGCCTAGTCCTTCTATTTATTCAAAACTCTTTTCAAACATTAACTCTCTGGTCCTTACAGTGCACCACAAGGGCTGAAGAAGTTACACCATATCTATGGTGAGAGGTCAGCTAGATAAATGCCTGGGTACTCTATTAACAAAAATTGGATGAAAATCAGGAAGGGCAACCAGCTCATTCATATAAATAAAAGTACATGATTTGACCAAACAATTGCTATAGAATGGTGTGGCTAATGTCAATTGCTTATAATATCAGAAAGGTAAATATAAATAAAAGAGATATTTCAGTTCTATATTTGTAATAGGATATAAAAGAAATCATGGGCTGAAAGTTTTTTAAAAAATGGGAACATGTTCAATGAGTCCTTGTTAGTTTTCAGGTTCACTAGCTCTTAGGAAGTGTGAAAAGCAGCCTTCTTAGTCTGAGGCTGGACCATGAGCAGCCTCTGGGTTTCCCCTAGCTCAGGGATCTAGTAAAACATCATTTCAGCTTGTTACTCCTTCTCCCCCATCGGTAGTAGTGAGCCAATCCATCTAAGAGTGGCACAGGGAAAAGTGCCACTTTTCAAGAAAAGTATGAGACCCAGTGTACGTTAAGCTGCTTTCCTGTAATTAAGCAGCAGCAACGCTAAACAGCTGGTGGAAAAATTAAGTATCAGGGAATAACGATCTCTTAACAGATCACGAACTTCTTTGGCCAAAGTTCCTACTGTATATTGTATGCATACATAATATTCTATAGAAAGCAAAGAAAAGGGCAGAGGGCTTTCAAAATAGTATTTGTTCTTCAGAAGGGTTTTCTATTATTATTTCAACCATGTCTAGTTATTTCTATTCCCTCTAAACGTTCTGCCTCTAGAAAGGGAGTTTGGGGGTGAGAGGTGATATAAGTTGGTGGGGGCTCAAGATATAAAGCCTCACACTCATTCATCTCAGCATTGAAAAAATCCAGTCTCACCTCTCTCATCCATTCTCGAATCGTTTTGCCAGCTTCTTGATGCCACACATTGTGAACAGAGTCTGTCAACGCCACAGCAGTTACCTTACTTTTTACATCTGCTTCTCGTTGAATCATCTGTTTTAAAAAAGGACAATAAAATATTGGCTATAATTTTTTCCCTACTGGGTGTAGCCTGTTTAGTCATAAATAATAATAATATTAAAAATGAAAAAGCAATATGCATTGCTTGTTCAAAGTTACACTGAACACATGCCCTATTCTTGTCCAGAGATGTGAAAAGACCTAATATTTTCTTTTAAAAAGATAATGCCACTTAAGTCTCAGAACTATGCAGCTCTATTATTTTCCATGTGGTTTGACAATTCAAGGATTAAAGGGATCACAGAGGAAAAGAGGAGGAATCCCTGAGGAGATTCCTCCACCACTTCCTATGTCAGTGCTTCAGGGAGGGTAGCACCCGGGGTTCACCGTTAGATACTTAGGACGAACGTCTACTAATTTTCAGTAGATGGCACATCAGTAAAGAAAGATATCTTGCTTTGACTTCTCCAATTTAGCCATGGCCTTCTGACTCCTTGCTGTTTTAAATGCCCACAAAGATCTTTCTCTTCAAAGCCTATCAATATCATTTTGCTTTCTAATATATTTCTTTATATCGACAAATGATTACATTTTAACTTCTTTCTACAGAGTGTTAGTTCTATAAAATTAAATGGTTCTAAAATTTAAAAAAGAGCTGCCTGGTCTGAAGAAACTGAAGAATTCGTTACTGGTCTGCAAGATGAAGAAACTGAAAAATAACAGTTGTACATCAAAAGAATCATAAAAGGTTTTAATCTACTAACACTAGTGAGTGACTCTAGTTTGACACAACAGATGTAATAAAACAATAAAAAATTACTGTTAAAAAAATAGTAGCCTTGAGGGGCCGGCCCCATGGCTTAGCGGTTAAGTGCGCACGCTCCGCTGCTGGCGGCCCGGGTTCGGATCCCGGGCGCGCACCGACGCACTGCTTCTCTGGCCATGCTGAGGCCACGTCCCACATACAGCAACTAGAAGGCTGTGCAACTATGACATACAACTATCTACTGGGGCTTTGGGGGAAAAAAATAAATAAATAAAAAATTAAAAAAAAAAAAAATAGTAGCCTTGAATTTCATAGCCATGCTCTCACTATTTCTTTGTATCAACTGTCTTTTCTCCCTCTAAAAAAGAGAAATTTCTGTATCATTTGCTATTTTTTTTTTATAATTTTATTTGCTTATTTTTTCCCCCAGAGCCCCAGTAGACAGCTGTATGTCATAGCTGCACATCCTTCTAGTTGCTGTATGTGGGACGTGGCCTCAGCATGGCCGGAGAAGCCGTGCGTTGGTGTGCGCCCGGGATCCGAACCCCGGCCGCCAGCAGCGGAGCATGCACACTTAACCGCTAAGCCACGGGGCCGCCCCTATCATTTGCTAGAAATTAATTTCCTATTAATTTCTATGAATTGTCTATCAAAAATATATTACTGCAGTTAAAAAAAAGAGAGAATTCTGAATGGTGATGAAAGCTCATACAGTGAACACTGCAAGCCATGTTTCTGATACCAAATGATGCCTGTTGGCATTTGGAACTAAAAGTGTCTCTCTCTCTTTTAAATTTCTGTAATTCCCGCATATGCACATCCCCTTTCACTGAACACTACCTAATGGGAATCTAATTCACTGTTAATGCTGCCTCAGCAGCATTTCCACACCTTAAATCTTTGTACCCCATGTTTTCTGCTTATATAATGTGGAAATCTTAAAAGTCAATGTTGGTTATCAACATCACAATATTACTACAAAAATTCACCTTGAAGTACCAATAATATGTTTTAAAGCATAAGATAATACTCCAATACTTCCCATTCATTATTAAGTAGTTTGCTACCTTCCAGATTTTGTTTTAAAAATAGATTCTCATTGGATCACGTTGGCACTAGAATATAAAAATTTAAATCTACATTACATAATAAAACCTCAAATTCCACAATAGTGAATCCACCTGGCCCATGAAGAACTTATGTGCCCTTATTCTCATCTTCTAAATAGTAACACTTTTAGAGATCTAGAGTGATTGTTGCCGAAGTTACAAAATAAGAACATGCTCTTCTGGTGTTCTAAGAATGTCTGCATTTTAAAACATTTGCCCTGGATTTTGTTGTGGTTGTTGTTCAACATATGCTGACTTATTTAAGATGGTGGTGTCTGAAGACACTAAATATTGAGGGCCATTTGTGAAACAATACAAAGTTAAGACTTCATAGGCTGAGGATTTAGAGCAAAAGTAGAAAATCTGGGTTTTAAAATTCTACAAACCTGGAAAAAAATACAGTTGTTAGATACTATCAGAGAAAAAAAGCTTTGGTCTGTTTGTCCATCTGACTGACATTTCACACAATGGAAGTAACAATATACATCTTCACATCACATCAAATCACTTTATAATCCAGCATGATACTCCCTTACACTGCTATAGTCCTCTACAGTTTAAACATCACTTTCATATTATATTACTAGAGGTATGGATCTCAATGAAGAGCTGCTTACAAATGAACCCAGTAGCAAAGAATTTCAAATATTTGACTGTTCAGGATTAGTAGAATTGTAAATCGGTGAAAATCTTAACAGTTTAGTTTTTCAGACTATTTACCTCTGTTTCAGCCTTGCTGCAACCTAATCTGGTAGCATTGGAACTACAAACAACTACCATTTCTGTCCAAAGCCTCTGCTTCTTGCATTTGTTAGCTTGGTTCATAACCCCTTTTCCCTCCCTCTCTGGGAATGAGCACTGATGAAACATGCTGGAGAGCGGCAATGGTGGGGGTAGACTGAACACAGGAATCAAGATTGTTTAAGAGACAGACCTTAGATGGAATATAGCTAAAGTAAGGATGAGTGGAGGCACAGCTGGGCAGGAAAACGACTTCTATAATAGTCTATAATAGAAGACCACAATAGTCTGGTAAACCCAGAAATCTGAAAGGGAAGAAATCATATCACCAAAGTCCTACATATGTCAATCTGAGGTGGAGATGTGGTTTTTATTAGGATCTACGGATATGAACACCTTTGCAATTCCTTTCAAAATTCTGTTTGTAGGTGATATCTGGAAGAGGATCCTTAGCTTTTATTAGATTCTTCAAGAGATTTTAGTCTCCACAAATGATGAGACCCTCTGATCTCAATGTCTCCATGTATACTTGAATGAACTAAGAAGTACCTGCTAAGTGATCCCTTCAAACAATTACACTTAAGATCAATTTAACACCTATACCAATCTTTCAAAAAGAAAGGATGGCATTCCATTTTTGTTATAATGTCTTTAGTTGGATAAAAGTGACAAAAAGAATTTGATTCCCCAGACATCCACATCCTAAAGTTCCATGGCTTAATAGGTTACGTGTGGTAAAGTTACAATTAAAATATAGTTTTTATTTGTGTGTATATAATATTTATTTATATCTGAGTAGCACTCCACAAATTTCAAAATGAATACATATTTATTCTCATTTTATTCTGAAACAATATTGAAATCCATGCAAAACATATCATTTTTCCCATTTGTGGAGGAGGAAACTGAGGCTGAGAAACTGGTTAATGGCCACACAGATACAAAGTGACATGACTCTGACTTGACCATGACTTGAGGTTCTGTGTTCTTTCATTTGTATCACATGGGGGCTATTTCTCAGTAATATATCATAATACTCTTACATAAATGAACTCAATTGATTAATTCCTTTTTCACATATACAGTATTTCACTGACTTGGACATTTCCAACAAATCACAAAAAAAAAAAAAAAAAAAGAGTTCCAGATCCGTAAGGAGTGTTGAAATGCTAAAAATCATGCCAAGATAGAAATAGCCATGAGCAAAAACAGACTATCAATAGTATTTAAAAATTATTATTACAGTTCTAAAATAAATGATGTCTCAGATAAGAGGGAAAATTAGATATTTCTATAAATCATATTGATGATTTGAGAATTAACACCAAATATTTGATGCTATCACCTGATATTTTTGTTTCCCCTTCTTAATTCTATCCATGTATCTATTCATACTCCTCCCACCTTAAATTAATCACAATTAGTCTGTTCTTTCCTTTACTGTATTGTATGTTCCCAGTCTGACAAAAGCTTAACTAACCCAATAAATATCAAGTACTTTGAACAGATTAAAACATATACCATCTGTATGCTGGCTCATCTTATTAAAATTTTTGATGAGGTTGAAATTGAGAGGCAAAAAAAAACCCTTCTATTATTTTTTTTCATTCCAGAGTAAGAGTAAGATTTTAAACATGAAGGAACTGTAGCAAGATAGGAGAGCTTATCAGAGTGTAAAAGTATTTGGCGGGATGAAGATCAGAGGACCAGAGGGGCGGCATGCGAGGGCCTGGATCTCCTCTCCATGTGCACTCTGGCCCTTCCACAGGGCGGCTCCATCTCTCCCCAGAAACCACGTAGACCTTTTCTGTCTACCTAACCTATCTCACCATGCTTTCTCCAAGGTCCTCAAATGCTGTACCTGCCTATGACCTTCACAAGTACCTGGCCAAATGCAAACACTTCATGTCACCCTAAAAGTTCCTTAATTCCCTTTTTGTACCTACAAGCTGTTGTAACTTTTCCTTGGGTTTCATTTCTTCCAGAACTCTACCATGAGCTACTTTTAGCAAAGGAAAACACAAAGACTCTTTTACTTCCACTAAATTAAATAAAAACATTGCTGTCCATTTGTCTTAGCTTAAAAGATAGGCTTCTGGGCCGGCCCCGTGGCTTAGCGGTTAAGTGCGCGTGCTCCGCTGCTGGCGGCCCGGGTTCGGATCCCTGGCGCGCACCAATGTACCGCTTCTCCGGCCATGCTGAGGCCGCGTCCCACATACATCAACTAGAAGGATGTGCAGCTATGACATACAACTATCTACTGGGGCTTTGGGGG